GTCCGATTTGAGCACCAGATTATCGACAGTAAATTCTGTAACAGTAACAGACCGGTGCGGCAGAGTGCATGGCCGAAGACCAGTTCTCTAAGGGAAGTTTGGTTTAGCCAACCAACTGTAGCCGGAAATTTCGTAATGGATTGTTTGACTTTCTTCCTAAGTCATAGTGGTCGAACTTCTGCCAAGGCTGCTTCATTTTAGAAGAAATCGAATGCGTGGCTCATTACAAGAGCCCACATGACAAGTAACACACTGAGGAATGTCTACATCAGTGAGAGACTCTTGGGGAAGTTTGAGGTTTGAGATTCAGTCTGTTTAGGCTAGATGAAGGCAGATCCACGGCCACCTCCTATTTGAACCGGAATTGGATTCTCAATGTATTAGGTCGGTCGAGAGATGAGGAAGGGCAGTCGGTGCCTCAGTCAATATGTTGTAATCGAGTCTAGGGAAATCTGATATCATCCAATCTGAGATCTTGGGATATGGATGATTCAGACAGATTACTAGGAGAGGAGTAGGGGAGTGGGAAGGGGGAAGGATGTGAGGTCCTACCCCTATCCGTACTGCTATTTTCGTCCATGTACCTAAGCTATGGAAAAAAAACATTTTCGGTAACTCTCAGTGGAAATGGTAGATCCGTGACGGACCTTTTCACTTGACTTCTATCGTAATTTCGCCGTTGAGTGCATAGCAAACTTTGGATTTACCATCGCTTCACGATCTTGTTTCTTTTGCATATGCATGTCCTCAATATATGAGAGGGCTTCGCATCTACATATAATTTATCTTGCGTGTGCTTGTATTAGCAGAAATCCTGAACAAATTCGCCGATGGATGACGACTGGAGGGGTTTGAGTGTGGTGATTCAAGCTGATTCAAGCGCAAGTGTTAACGCTCTTTTGTGGTGTTCGACTATAGGCTGGCTCAATTTTATCTTTTTTATCCCTCCCTGTAGTACATAACGAATCTCAATTAATGGTCCTGTGCGTGCTGTTTCGAATTGTTAGCATCGTTCTCTACGTTTTATTTACATATTTGTTTACTCATTTACTAGCGTATACTACACGAATAGAGTGAAAGGGAATAAACATGCACCAGGTTCGGTAGGGATCGTTTCAATGCATGTGGGATAGAAAAAGATTAACTGGTATGCAGGGAAGTTTAACGTGTAGAAACATCCCTGCCAGTCCCGTACCCATCTCGGAGGAAAAACGAGCTTTTCCCACTGTTCGCGTTGTTATTGTTGAATATTTCTTCAAAAATTCTGTAGAACTTGGCCAAATAATTTTAAAGTGCCCGAAGGAACCACACTGATTACTGGAAATAATCAGCACAATAGCTAAATATAATCTTTGGGGTTTGTAGAAGTAGTGCACTATCACTCAGGAATGCTCCGAGTTCGAATCTTGGATCGGTGCTTGCCCAGGCCAACGGCTTCGCACTCCTCCGGAAACGGTTCTAAGAGTAACGGTTATTGGCACCAGACTCGTTGGGGAGGATTAAGGTTGCGACTTTTACATTGAACGATCACCACAAGCCGTTGACTAGGCTACATACTCGTTGTAACTACCGCGGAGGTTCTGAATAAAAGTCGAGTGGGGATATGGAGCAACTCAAAAATGGGATGAGTTGATACTAAAGATTCACCCTTCTTTGTAATCGCAGGGTCCCGGGTTCTAAAGTAAGCGAAACTTATCTGGGAAATACGAAGAGCTGGAAAAGTATGTAGTTAATTAATGTTCATATCATTTGCAACTGGTATTTATATCACTAGCTGGTACTCTAATAGCCTGTGGGTGGGTGAAGTAGTGGGTTTCGGGCACGCAATTAATCAGAGCATTTCGCAAGGTTGAGCAGCGATTTCCACTGAAAAACGGCGACTGGCCTATCTGTTGGGCTATCCGATCAGTTTCTCATCACATATGTGTTACAGCAACGTTCATGCTTCCAATATCCATTTTGACTTTTTGCTACTTAGGGTAGAAGTCTACCTCTGTGGACCCTGGTCCCATACGGCACCCTGCATTTAGTACTTTTTTACACTACTCAGGTACTAATCAAGTTGTAGCTTTCATCGTTTATGTATACGTCCTGTGGAATCAAAGTTGGAGCAGTTCATTTCGTTGGAGTCTCACCACCCACTAGGCTTCATTTCGGCCTACTATTAATTCTGAGCGGATAGCGCTCACAGGACCGTCACCTTTCGATGATCTCTGGTTCTTGTGACATAAATCTCGAAAACATAGGGGTTCAGACAAGAAGAGAGCCATTATGCCCTGTTCATCCTAGACAATAGTATGGGTCGTCAAGTGGTGTGTTTATGCAACGTACGACCTCAGAACTGGTATCGGTGGTGGCAGTCAGTCCCATAAGAAAAGCATTCAGCCGATAACTTTTGTGTTTTCATGCTGATGGTTATTGCAGATTGTTGTTCAGACTGATGCATGCAACACTACAAAGTGAACGATGATTTTGATAACAATTGGACGGTGTAAAGTAAAAATACCTACGTAAAGCAGAATAAGCAAAGGGTGAAGCAGGATCAACGAGGAGAAAGGCGGGGCATGCAGCTGTGAACGAGAATTCTATCAAAGCTATTATCTCAGAAGCTCCTTCAGAACATTCAAAACTATGCTAGTATATTTTAAGCGATTGCTAAACAACTTGTGAAATCAAAAAAAGTGGACTAATTTTTGGAAATGTGCGAAGGAATCGGTGAATTGATCCACCTCTGCCCATACAACTTTTTTTATTTTCTCCAACCCGGAGGCTCACCGATGGGTTAGGGTTGACGAGAACGAAATACTCAAGACCTTCCCAACCTAACTGTCTTCAACTCAGTAATACGAATCATTTTGCAACATTTTATGCAAAAATTCTTAAAGTTTCCAGAGTAAATTGATCTTGTGGGCCAGATAAGCCTTTCGAGCTCTTATTTCTCAGATCTGAATGCGTTCATAGAAATACTGTCACGCCAACGGCTGTCGACAATAGGGAAAGTGTGCTACTGTTTACATAAGGAGAGGTGTTTAAGGATGGCGTCTGTCCAAAATCTGAGTCATGTCGAGATAGATCGTTCCATTTGAATATGAGATCTTCAAAGGTTTATGGAATCTATGGGAACATTGCAAAGAGAATGCTGGCTCTGAGAAAATATGATGATCTTTTTGGAATGCTACTGAATCAGTGTTACGTCCCGCATTCCACATAGGAACTCAGGGAGAATGACCTCAGACCTCATGCCCATGTGTGGTGCGAAAGTTCTGGAAAAAGTTCCATCATGACTCGCCTCTGTTTTGCTCCTATCCTTTACAATCCCTGGACATTGACTTCTCTGTAATTTTCAGGTGCTACCTCTCTTGATAATTTCCAAGAAGTTTTTTTTGAAGGCAAAGTCGGAAGCAGGAAGTTTTTTCTATGAAGTCATGGTCAAGCGTGACTTCAAAAAACCGGTCAGGGGGAAATTGCGCTTCGTCTCAGTGGAAAACGGAGACTGTTTACAAGCCGAGAGAGGCTCTGAACCCAGAAGCGTTCTGTGTTACACACTGCGTAATCGCAGCACTCCCTTCTCCATTCCTTCAGACCCTTTCTGGATTTGAACTGGTGAGATCGGTTGGGGTAACAAATGTAAAGAATTTATTTGACTAGAAAGATCGTGATCCTTCTCTGGCGCCCCTCATCTCTGTCTTAAAATCCCAATCAGAACACTAAGCTTCTGGGTTCGATAGGGGCACATGGTTTTTCATACGAGCTGCTCTCATCAAAGTTCGCAGTAAGTAGAAAAAAANAAAAAAATGAAATCGTCTGAAAATCGTGGTAATCATGTCCAATTTACCCTATTCACGATTCCACAATACTCACGGGCTTTGAAATGTCACATTCTTCTTCTCTCAATAGGAATATCTTGCTTTTAAAAATATCATTAAAAACGTCGTTGCAAATCGAATCTGGGGCACCGACCGAACATGTGTCATCTTAAAGTCTAGAATGCAAGTTTTCGGTGACCACGGATTTGTTGGCCTACGCCAAGCCATACCCTCAGGGATATACGAAGTCGTCATTGCCGCTGGACGACTGATTTAACCATGATGTCTTCGTCATATTTCATTTCTAAGATGTGCTGTTGCCTCAATAAATTAGTTAGGTAAATATATGGAAACTAGAAAGTCGGCATGTAGATTTGAGTTCCTGAATGGTTCACACAAAGTTATTACTTTCATAAAATGAGCCTACATGTTACGAAAAATTTCGCTGTGATTTATGTTGACTCTAGTATATCTCAATTTCAATGGGACAAAACCACTAACAGGGTGATTTTCTGAACCCCTAACACCACCAGAGGGTCCTAAGGATTTCCAGTGACACAAAACTGCTGCCGTTTGTATTTCAAAAAACAAATACGCTCGTTTTCCCAACAGTAAGCCTAAAAAGATCCAAATGCCTCGTTTCTACCTAACCTAGTTATGTAAGACCTCCTTCCTATCCGCCTATCTGAATCTCCGTACCAAGTTATAACCCTTGTAAGGTTTAACATGACCTCCCTCTATTTTGAGACTACTTTCTGGGCTAGCGATTGCGCTAAACTACTGAAAACCAACTATCCGTTTTCTCTGGAGGGATCTGGTTTTTCAACACAAAAACCAAAGTGGTATAATCACACGACTTTCGTAAGGGTTCGTTCGCTTACTTCTCACCCGAATTCAGTAGGTAACGTCCTTGTCCTCGAGGTAGAGAAAGAGTTTGTCGGATACTCTGTCAAGTGGGTGCCAGCTATCGTTTATATCGTTTTCTTCGCCACAGGAGCCATCAATCTTCTTCGTTGAATTCATCAATGTTTCATTGGATCCAATCGGCTACGGAGGGGTAGACTGTGATTGAACATCTTCGTTCGGATTGGATTAGCATTACATCGACCACTGTTTCGTGTCTGTTTAGACTTTCGCTCTCGTGTGAAACCTCTGAAATCTAAATAAACAGATATATAAAAATCTTTCAGCCAGATGGAGAGAGAAAGTCGACATTCGAAAGAAGAAGAAGAAGAGCTGGACCGCAAGATCGCTCAAATACGGGAAAAGAACCAGAAGATAGAGGAAAGGCAGAAGGTCTGTTGATTGTTTAGCTCTTAAATTTGTTCAAAAATCGGTTTCCTTTCCTTTCTCGTTAACGTGGAAAATATGGGGACAACAAAAGCAGATTTGTTCCTTTCGTGGTATTTCAGGCAATACAATTAGTGGACATCGTTGTTCTTATAAAGCCTCAAGCAAGATTTTGTATTTTTCTATTTGGCTGAAGTTTCGACCTCGTCTTTTTCCGGCATCGGAGCCTGGAAGCCAAGAATGTGTGGAACTCTTCTTATTAGAAGCCATCAAAGACTTCAGCTCAGCCCGCGTATACCATCAAGTATCTAGCGAGGCTAGTCAGTTACCTCGGTAAGCGTAGACAAGTGGGAACCCAACCTGGATATAGAGATGAAGACCTGTAACACCTTCCAAACTGCCTAATCAAAAGTTTTCTGTGGGTAGGTAATTAGGTAGGCAAAGGTCATGGTTACCTACCAGAATCAGAAGAGCTATGTCAACAGGGGCTCGCAGCATTTTTTTTGCATGGCCAGAAGAGCCAGAAGATCCACACTGACTTCCTTCGATAGGCCTCCCATGACAATGTATGCCGTCATTGCCTCGGACGGAAATGCGCCTATACCACGAATTCGCGCCAGCCACCATGGTGCTTCTGGCTCCACAGGATGGCTACCTGCAGCATGATTAGAAATAACCGCAGTTACGATGTGCCCAGCTTCTTCATAACAAGGAATTTTTGAGTAGATAGTTATCCATCACTGGCAACAGAAACATAATCCATTCTACCTATAGGTTGGCTCTTGGATAAGTAAGTGATGTTCGACACTCCACGACCGAATTGCTTGTCCAATAGTCTTCGAGTTCCTCACCTCTGTTTCTACCCCAGCGACGTCCTCCTCAGCATGGATGCGGCGACGGAACTGCGGTGTTAAACGAACTATCCGGGAAGTAGCTGCCCGTGGGACTGGGATTTGCACTGGTAGACGGCATGCAGATAGCAGAAGACGAATAATCGGGTGATGAGCGGAGCCACGACGATACGGGATGACGACGTGGGGAGACGAAGACGAAGACCGACTACGGCGGTCTTCGTCATACTCCCTTCATCATTAAATTACGATGCGTTCATACTCCGCGACGACTGGTTGCTATATCAACAGATACGCAGCAGGCGCGACATTTGAGTAGTTGATGGCAGTGTGTGTCTAATGCTGTTGTCGGTGCAAAGACACGGTTGCAATAGAAATAGTCGTTTGCATGACGATAAAGACTTCTTTCTCAGGTTGTCGTCATTCGCTTATCGGGAAGATACGCATTCGGTGGGTGACTAAAAGAAAATCGAAGTAGAGGATCGTGAGGATGACTAAAGAGTGAATCGGAAAACTTCAACTCGTTCAGCCGACTTATGTAGCCCGTGATCAAGAATGAGTTAGAGCTTTCGACTGAAAGTGGGCCAATCGAAGGGTCAAATGTCATTCGGCTACGCATCCGCCGTTACTTTGGCTATAAAGTCCGAAGTTTTGTCCATCAATGAAAAGCAGAAGCCAAGATTGTCCACCTGTTTTCCACTTCCGATTGTACACTTTGCGATCTGCACTCTGTATCAATGCTCGTCAACTTGTTCATTGCCTAGAAAAAAACTGACGAACACCAAGGCAGTGATTGACGATTGTGCTCCGAGCAGTCCATTTAGTCAATCATAAAATTTCCCGAGGACTTCTTTTAAGCGGAAATCCCCAAGTTTCCTATGGCTGACCTAGAAATACTAAGAAATTTTGAAATTTCCAGGAGATCGACGCTGACCGAGCGAGCCATACCGATGGGCTACAGCGTAAACCTTCTAAGGTGTGTCGCTTTTCAGATTTTACTCTCAGAATTTTGCTAGATGACAATCTTTCGAAACCGTTCCAACTTCGAATCATATTTTCCCCCTCAAAGGCATAGTTTACGCTGAAAACGCTGGTTTGCGCTGGTTTTTAAGCATGAACCTGCGACCTCCAAAGATACCAGAAGGGACGCTGCCGAGTAGAAAAACGGTCTAGAGAGGGCGTAATGATAGTCCCAAAATCGGCTTAGCCGACACGAATATCCATATGCGGAGAGTTGCCAAGTATTGTAAAAACTGTAGAATTTGTACCGTACACGTTACCTTGTACCCAGGCAGCTTACGGTAGCCAGCTGTACGCAGAGGCACGCACGCTTAGACAGCTCGACCAAACGGTTTTTCCATGCAACTTTTGTCGTCATGATCTCGTTCCTAATTTTGCTACTTTTTTGAACTACTACTACGCCCCTTACACTACTTACACGTCGACTTTCGCGTTTTCTTCGCCATTTAAATACTACTCTTTACTATCAATTCCATTGTTCGTCTATAACTAAACATCTCTAAATTCCCTCGAACTGTGCATTCAGGTGATAAAAAAGTTTCAGTTGATGAGCCGTTAATCTGATTAATCTACTTAACTTTCTTCATGCATTAGTCGCTCCAGCTCTTTGCAATTAATCTTCATTAGTTCGGTCTGAGTTCGAATTTTTCTCAGCTGAAAAAGTTTTGGTACGTGCCATTGAAAGAAAATTGTGTACACGCCATTATTTCTAAATGGGCCCAATTTTTAAAGGACACTATGTCAAGACAGCCAGCCCAGTACTTTTGCATTGGTACGAGCTGAGAACGAGAAAAGTCATTTGGGCAAAAAGGGAAAAACAAAGAGCCAAAAAGAAGAGGAATAAAAATTGGAGAAACTCTGAATATTTCTCGCATTTCGTTTTTTTTTTTGATGATCAGAAGTAAATTCGTAAATTCAGCCTTCGCCTCCAAGCAGTGGCGCCACAAAAACCCCTAAAGGCGAATGGGATCGTGAATGGGATCATGGTAAGACCCCGTAAGTTTTGCTCCAATCTTCTTGACCCATTGCTCTTCAGTTGCTACTTGTGCAAAAATGACAACTTGATAAACCTCGCTCTCATTTGTTTTTTCTCATATAAGGAAATGTCAATTGAATTCAGAGCGGATACATGGCGTGAAAATGTGCCGTCCATAGAAGCTCGTAAAAAACCGTCCGGTCGTGGAGGTCATCAATGGGGGCCGAATCAGCGTGGCCATCGAGGTGGCAAAGACCCCGTAAGTTTTGCTCCAATCTTCTTGACCCATTGCTCTTCAGTTGTTACTTGTGCAAAAATGACAAATTGATAAACCTCGCTCTCATTTATTTTTTCTCTTACATGGAAATGTTAATTGAATTTAGAGCGGATACATGGCGTGAAAATGTGCCGTCCATAGAAACTCGTAAAAAACCGTCCGGTCGTGGAGGTCATCAATGGGGGCCGAATCAGCGTGGCCATCGAGGTGGCAACAAGACGCGTGGTCGGTCTGAAGAACCGGCGAACCAGGTTAGCAATAATGAGGTATTCCAAGGATGTAGGAGTCCTTCCCTCCCTCAACACGTCTCTTCCTTTCTCTAAAGTTTGTCCATTTGGGAACTTTACAAGCAAAAGAAGTTGTTTGGAAACTGGTTGGGAAATTGTAAGGTCCCAGGTTCAAGATAGCTTTGATCTTACCCTTAGTGATCTACTGGAGATGTTCTGAGATTATTAATAAACGTTCGGTTTCCTTTGCAATGTTCCCTCAGACTGCTTTCCCGATGTTGATTTAAACCTGGACTGCCAAGTATTGATCGGCCCGATTTTTACGCGCGTAATGATCCAGCTTGGTAGGACTGTTGATCAGGATCATACTGGGGAGATAACAGCACCCATTATGTCATGAATGGGAAAGAACCATATGTCGGAAATGGGACGGCTAGGATTGGAACGCGCGGATTGCGGGTTTTTATGCTGGCACTGTCTGGTCGCCCATCAACTCCTGTATGTAGATGCTAGGTCCCTGCGCTAACAATAGCCATAGCAGTTTTAGGGTTTTATTCCGCGTGAGGGCACCGTTTAATCCAGAACCCGAACATTGCTCATTCCTAATTAATATCCACTCAACTGAACGCCTTTACCGATTAGCTTTGTTAAAATATTCAGTGCTGGCTGCTCACCTCACCGTGATGAACAGATTTTGCTAGTAATTCCAGCTATTATCGAAAATTAAAGTGTTCTTGCATTATAGGCGAACAAGGGCAGTCGTCTGGAAGGAAGAGTCACAGTGCATCCGGAACAGAACGCCGGTAATCGACGAGGTCGAGGACGAGGCGGTGCTCGCAATCAAGCGCGCCATGTCACTAAAACTGATGGGGAGCTCAAGATAAGCGTCAAAGTAGGAGATGTAAGTCAAAATATAATCCTTTCAATGTGACTGCCTCTATTCTACTCAAATGAGGCCTAAAATTTGATTGGGTCACTCTTTACCTTCCCTAACTACCTAGCTACATTGCCTGATAGATACGAGTACAATCCGTTTGCTTTCGCTGAAAACGATGGAAGTTTCAAAGTTTCATCGATGGGAACCTTTGCCCAGAAGCAGAATGACGATGAACACAAATCCCAAATCAGATTCCAGATTCTTCAGCATCCTAGGAAAAAGGCGTCCTCAGACTTTTGTTACCTTTTGAGGGAGTAGGCTGACCCTAACAAGAACAGTGTTTACTAATAAATTGGAGGCAGAACATGAATGAAGGATTACCAGCTTTGAACAATCTCTATGAGGTGCGCCTTATATTCGATTAAATTATTAAATGCAAAACCGTTGCGATGTCCAGAGAATTCCCAAAGACTTCGACTGTCCCCATTACTAAACGCTTTTGGTACTCAACCTTAAGGGAAGGATATATTGGTCATCTGAAGTGGAAGCTGATCGCACAGGCTATACAAATGTAGCTGTTTTTGTTCTGACACAATTCCCATTTGCCTAGAATAGCGTATTTTGCATGACTTTTTTTTACCGTGGAGAAAACTATCCATCTTTTGTGTAATAGTGCGCTTTTTAGTAGAACATTAATCATGGCGCGAACGGCAGTGGCTCTATACAATTAACAACACCGCGGATATCTTGGGTATGGGTTTTCGGGTGTGGGATCTTTTACCCAAAAGGTATGCCGGGCTCAGCGGCATCGTATCAACCACGCATCGAAGTACGCAAACGGGGAGTGAGATTCCAATTTCGATAGCCACTTCGGTTATTGTCGTGAAGTCGCTGCCGCGTGCATGTGTGTTATCGTAGGGATCGAGTTCAAAGTCTGTCACCCAGTGTTGTCGCTGCTTTTCATTATCAAAAACATGTTGTCATCGAAGCGTAGATCTGTGCTACCAGGGTCTTTCATTCTGAATGTACAACAGAAAGGTTCTTACTCCACTTGTGTAGTTTGAGAAAGTGGTCCTGCCACGATCGCTCGAGGCGGCCACGGGCACAGCGATGATGGCAAAGCTATCCAAAACAATGATTTCTGGCTGTGTACTGTAGAACTTGCTTATGCCCACGGACTACATGTGAGGACTAGAACGGGTTCAAATGGTCAGGTATCAAAATGTTTGGAATATGGAACGGGAAGATTGGAGATGGTCCGGTCTAACAGCATTTTGTCATATTCTGAAGTTGAAGTGTTGAAGGAAGCGGATCACTCTGAAACCGGCCCTGAGCAACCACTTGTTTTCCCTTTTCACCAATCTCGCCTTCTGTCTATCTCTTTATTAAACATCACTGGACCTCTATAATTAAAGCATATGTAGCTCCTCGAGGTACTACGAATTCAGAAATGCGATAAAGCGCTCTGTATTCTGTTATCCTTTGACCATAAGTCTGCTCAGTAGGCATTGCTAAGAATATGAACCACTTGTAATAACCCAAAGATGTCAACCGATTCTTGTGATCCTGATTTTCCCTCTAGATAAGCTTGACACGGAGCAGCCAAGGTCCAGCTAAAAAGGATTCGCTCTCCAAGGCAGCACACTTGGGGAGTAGTATATTTGGCCATTACATCACAAACAACTTATTGCACATCATGCCTTCATAGCTGGCGTCATTATTCAGCTAAGGTAGTACACACTGTTACCTAGCCTTCAGGAATTTTTTCGTAAATGCAACTCAAAGAGGAATGTTAAATTATCACATGGAAGCAAGGATAAAGTCTTTGAACGTTAATCAAACTCGTTTTCGACATCCAAACATAAGATCATTTTCAGGAAAACTCCAATACTCCCAAGCACCCACGAAATACGCGACAGAGTGCGAAATCTTCTTCGAGTAACAAGGATGATCAGACGACGGGTCAGAATACTCAGGCAAAAAATAGGCCAAGGGTGAGCAGAAATGCTTCACTTCCCATTAATTACTAATTTGCACCAGAAATCTTTCTTTAGCTACATAACGGTTCCTTTGCTTGCGCCTATAAGCTACAGTTCTGAACACATTTTCTTGACTGTCCAAGTGTGATGCTAATTTCAGAGACGCTACACGGAGAAATACGAGATTAAGCAGTTGCTACGGGCACTCGTGAACAAAGTGGAGAAAGCAGAAAGGAAGGAACGGCAGCA